TGCCCTGCATGCTCTCCTTTCAAATTGCCTGCACGTGTTGTAAGGGGTCTGTGTGGGCACGGAGCTCGGCTCACATGTACCGGGCAGCTCCTGCAGGGCAGCAAATTCTCTTGCTCTTTATACATGGAAAGGACTTGGTTTTGTGTTCCACTACATGGAAAAAAATACACTGTATATTGCATTAATTTTGTTCCTTCCCTATTTTTTTAGGACAGATGTGGGGTCATTTTTACAATTTGGGTGCTCCACTCACTAGTTTTCTTGCAGAGCTGTTGACTCTCATAACTTGGCAGATCTCAGCAGTCTTTTCTTTAAGTTCTGGAAAAGTGGATATTTTCCAGAAGATTCAGCTCTACCATTGAGTTAGGAGTACAAGAACACTTAAGTACCTTTGTTTTAAATAATAGTTTGTTTCATAAATGTAATCTGTGGATCTGTATTGTTGTGTCTGCCAGCACCATTCATCATGTGCTTGTTGCTGTGCAGTCAGAGTTCTACAGAACATCCACCCTCCCTCTCCAAATGGAAACAAGTTCCCACCACAGAAAGCTTTCAACCCAAGTTAAATGACAATTGTTGGGGGAGCATGAAATTAGGTTTCAAAACCTAATTATACTGCTGATATCTAGTGGTATTAGGCTGATACTTTCAGCTGATTTGGAGGCTGTTTGTTGTCTTGATGGACTTTTAAAGTCTGGGACTGATGAGATGGATGTAGTTTGGCAGAAGGAAGAAGTGCTGAGGCAGTAGAAATATTGTCAAAGCAGTGGTGTGAGGAAATGATCTGAATACAGAGGGTGGGATGAGCTGGTGTTAGCCAATACCAGAGTAATGACAGGTAAGGCTCTGGACAATATTGTAGCAAGAAACTGCTTTGTCTGTACGTAGAATCTTTTCCAGACAAATGTCATAAAGTTCTGAAAGAGATTTAAGAAGTGTCAGCTGAGAGGGTCAGAGCACTTGCACTGTGGTAAAGTTAGTGATTTGTGATTATTTTCTGAGAGCTGTTTAAACTCAGTTCTACAGAGTGTTAACCCTGGGTGCTGTTAGCCCTCCAAACCCTGTTAGGTTTGATAGTTGATCCTGAGTTTACAGCTAACCTTATCTAGCTAAAATTATATAAGGTGCTGATTTAAGAAGAGAACATCGACCTCTTTCCCTACTTTTAATAAATCTTGAAAGGGAGCAATTTTGGTTTGCACTGACATTTAAAAGGAGGCAAGAGCTCCACCTCTGTCTGCCACAGAGATGGATCTGTATATTTCTCTGTGGTAACAGGAAATAACAGACCCATGCAAGGAAATATTCTTTGCTTCCTATCCCCTGTGTAGCTGAGGGTTGAAGGCAGGACTAGAAGACAACAGTAGAGCTGGCCACCTGAAGATATGTCATGACAAAGAGAGATTAGCTTTGCCAAGTGACTGAGATACTTATTCTCTGTAGGAAATAAATACCCCTAGGAAATTAAAAAAAGTTGTGTCTCTCTCCAGTATTCACAACTCTGCAAAGGTCTCCTAAGGCAGCCTGTGTTTCTTTTAACCAGTCACCTGTTTTCAATTAAAAGGTAATGGCCATATGTTTAATTGCTAGCAGCCTCTTCCATTTTTTCTCTTTTGTATCCTGAAGGAGTCCAATAAAAAGCATTGCTGAAGCAGCACTAACATTCATTACTCTTGAAAGAATGATGGACAGCATCTTGCCAAGTGATTTATTTAATTTTTAATCCATTCAGGTGATGTTACAGAATTATAGAATCATTTAAGATGGAAATGAGCTTTGAGATCAAGTCCAACCCTTAACCCAGCACTGGCAAGTCCACCACTAAACCAAGTCCCCAAGTGCCACCTCTACATGTCTTTTAAATACTTACAGGGATGGTGACTCCACCACTTCCCTGGACAGCCTATTCCAATGCTTGACAACCCTTTCCATGAAGAAATTTTTCCTAAAATCCAACCTAAACCTCCCAACCTGAAGCCATTTCCTCTTGTCCTATTGCTTATTACTTGAGAGAAGAGACCGATCCCCACCTGGCTACAGCCTCCTTTCAGGTATTTGTAGAGAGCGATAAGGTCCCCCTGAGCCTCCTTTTCTCCAGGCTACAGAACTCCAGCTCCTCAGCTGCTCCTTTGCTGCTTTGTTGCCCTTCTCTGGACACATTCCAAGCCCTCAATGTCTTTCTTGTAGTGAGGGGCCCAAAACTGGACACAGGATTCAAGGTGTGGCTTCACCAGTGCTGAGCACAGGGGAACAATCACTGCCCAGGTCCTGCTGGCCACACTGTTTCTGATACAGGCCAGAATGCCATTGGACTTCTTGGCCACCTGGGCACACTGATGGCTCATGTTCAACTGCTGTAAACCAACACCCGCAGGTCCTTTTCTGCTGGGCAGCTTTCCAGCCACTGTTCCCCTGGCCTTTAGTGCTGCCTGGGGTTGTTGTCACCCAAGTGCAGGACCCGGCACTTCACCTTATTGAACCTCATACAGCTGGGCTCAGCCCATTGATTCGGCCTGTCCACATCCCTCTGCAGAGCCGTGCTGACCTCCAGCAGATCAACACTCCTGCCTAACTTGGTGTCATCTGCAAACTTTTTAAGGATGCCCTCGATGCCCTCATCCAGTTCACTGATAGATACTAAACAGACATGGCCCCGGTACTGAGCCTTGGGGAACCCCACTAGTGACTGGCCATCAACTGAATGTACTCCATTCACCACCACTGCCTGGGCCTGGCCATCCAGCCAGCTTTATACCCAGTGAACAGAACACCCATCTGAGCCATAAGAAGCCAGTTTCTCCAGGAGAATGCTGTGGGAGACAGTATCAAAAGTTTTACTAAAGTTCCAAGTAGACAACATCCACAGCCTTTCCCTCATCCATTAAGCAGATCACCTGGTCATATGTAGAAGGAGATAGGGTTAGTCATGTTACCATGTTATCAGAAACCTCTATCATTTATAGCTTCCTGTAATGCATGGTAAATGAGTGCTGTAACTCAGAAGGATTTCCTTGTTCATTCCCTATCACCCTCCTCCCTAATCGCTATTGTTTGGGGGCACTGGGAAGGGAGGAGTTGCAATTCACAGGAAGCTTGCTGCTGGCAGCGTTCTTCCAGGCAGGGTTAAGTCCTGCTGTGCTTTGTCATTTCTCTTTGGTGAGCACTGGAACAGAGCTGACAGCCAATAACTGCCTGTTTCTGGGTGTTGCTGGGGTCTGTTAGCATTTCAAAGGTGTGTGCAGGAATCTTCAGCTAGGCAAGATCCTTGGAGAAGACAGTTGGAGGGATTTTTATGGACCACATTCCATACCAAGTGTCTTCTGCTAATTTCCAGCCCTTGCTGGAGCAGGGTGTACAGGGAGTACTTTTACAGGTTGGTTTGAATATCTCGCATTTTTTGTGAAGGAGTGAATTAGTTTGGCTACTAAAAGAACAGTTTCCATCCTCACTGGACTGTGAAAAAAATCTGTCTTGGTGGATCACATCAATCTTTTCTGTGGTCTGGAGGATAAGCAAAGTAATTGTTAGTAATTGTTTCTTTCTTTTATGTAGGTAAATATGTTCTAGAGGAACATATAGGTGTAGGTGGATATGATCTAGGAAAGAGAATTTTTTTGGTGTCTTAAGACCCACTGATATAAATATAAAGCACAGAATCATTTCTGATATTTAAGTTCCTATAGTCTGTCCTGACTTGCAGATGTAGGTACTGTAGTGCTTGCAGAGATCATTTGTCTTTTACAAATATTTGGATGTTTTTAAAAATCCCAAGGAGAAGAGGCCAACTTTTTGGCCTTTGCTTTAATTCTGTACCAAGGAATTGCTGTAACTTAGGCTCAAAGATTTCAATTAAGACTCTGGGGTATAAGGTGAATGAATTTTCAGAAGGTATTGTGGTTAAAGAACCCTTTGCCTTCTCTGGGAGCTTGAGCGAGTTTCCCCTGGGAGGCTTTGCAGGCTGATCTGTAGCTGGTTGAAACTGGCAGTTCTGATTCCTTCCCCGGCTCCCCACCCTTTCCTTCTAAGCCAAGCAAGGATAAAAGGGCAGCTTTTATTTTAGCTTTACATTGTGGTTTAGGTTTCTATTCAGGTCTGTCAAACATTACATCACAGTATCTGAGCAAAGTTCTTTTGCACATGGGAACTTAGGACCATTAATTACAAGTAGCACTAAAAGTAGCACGGTTACACAAGAATATAAATGCAAAGGTGGGCTAGTCCAATGAAGGGGAAGTTGCCTCAGGATCCACACATTTTAAAATTGCCATGCATGCCAAGAAGGTTGTTAAGGTTGCTGTCTATGTGAGTGCTGAAACTGTAAAAATTTGGGCAGAAAACAAACTACTGCTGTAGTTCTAAATGGGCATTTCTGTAGTATAGTTTGCATTTGTTTTATTTTTTTCTCTGGATGCTTTTCTTATTCCGCTGTCATTAGTCCACATCTCATTATATACTCGTAGAGAGTACATTCCTCTTGCTTGTTAGGATGATGTAGGTGGTAACTTGCAGTAGTACAAAGGGCTGAAGGAGAGATAATCAGCTGGATAAGTCATTACTCTGTGCAGAGAATGACTTGTTGACTTGCTGCATACAGCTTACTTATCCCACATTCTTTAAGACATAAAATGTTGTAGGAATTGAAAATGTAATAGAAAAACTTTAACTTGCTTGCCTAGAAAGGAAAAAAAGGTATGGTCGAATGATGAATACCTGATAGAAGCTGTTAAGTTGAGAGTCTTGGATGGTGCAGTGAGTCTGGTGGAGCACAATTCAACACAGTAGCCTGAACTAAATAGTCGTATACAGTGCTGCATTTCTCTCATTTTCTGTCTCACATATCTCACCCTGAATCCACGTCAAGGTACAGATGGTTCATTTGCTATGGTCTGACATACCTCTGGTTACCACATGGCACTTCTCGGCAGTTTGTGCTAAATGTTTGAAACATTGGGTACTTCTTTCCTAAGCAGTGTTTCTCTTTCTTGTGTTTTATTTCCCAGCTATCCATTGCAATCTGAATCCAAATGGTATTGACCATCCTGTCCCCACAGAAGGTATTAATCTGCAACTCGAAGGTGAAGGAGTTGAATCACCCTCAGTTAAGAACACTAGTGCTCCAAAAGGACCTGAGTCAAAAGAGACACCTAAGAGACAAGTGGAGCCAGAAATATCTAAGGTAGGTAGGACTGGATTCTTATTTATTTTGGGGAGTCTTAAAGAATCCAGGCTTCTTGAAGTCCTGGCTGCTGCTTAAAAAGCATTTATAATTCTGTTAAAGACATAAAAAGGTGCAAAAGTAACAGTCTGAGGAAGTGGGTGTTACAGAAGCAAAGTATTGCCATGGAGTTCTAGCACACACACATCTTGGACATTGAACTATTTTATTTTTCTCTAAATGAAGATAATTAAAATACTGGAATTGCTCTTCTTCAGGCACTATGGAGACTTTTTTTCCAAATGACTTGGGTAACAATCAGCATGGCAACAGATATGTTTTTCTTGAGTGTTTTTTTTTTGTTGTTTACTTATTTACTTTTTCCTAGGGCAGGTAAAGGAAGAGAAAGGTTCTGTGGATGTATGAGAATTTTTATAGGGGTGACTGATTTTAATAAACTGTTAACTTATTTTAGGTAAAATACTAGGCCAGCTCTTCCGTGTCTGATATGATGGTGAACAAACATAGTTGAGAGGTGAATTCCTAAAAACAAATGTAGCATCTGTTCTTATTCATAAGCTGCTGCTTTTTGTTTGAGTGCAGCAGACTTGACTACCAAGTGCAGGTGAATGTGTGTGCTCCAGATACTTTGGGTATAGGACAAAAATTTGTCATATTAGATACGTTTTTAACTAGAATGAAAAGTAGGAGAACGTTATAAAAATTGTGAGAGGTTCTTTAAAAGCTTTATCAGCCTTTTTGATCTTTAAAAGCTTAAAACCTTTTGGTTTGAGGGTGATTTCTGCACAGTGGAAAATCGAGTTTTTACTGAATCTGACACTTTGAGAGTTAATAGAGCAAATAAAATGAGTGTCTTTTTTTTAACGTTCAAAAAAGGCAAGAGAAATTATTTCAATGACTGAACAAGTAGAAGTATTTCCTAACGCCAACAGTACAATAAATCTAACAAGTAATACACATATGGTTGGGAGATATTTCACTTTTAAAATAAAATGTTTTGAGCAGTAGCCTTGACAATAAAGGCTTGGTATGAATTCTCCATTCTGATTTTTATCTAAAATATCTAGTTTTAAATTAATACAATTTACACTCATTCATTCTGACTTAATTCACTAGATCCACTACAGTTTGGCAATAATTAAAATCAGTGCTACTTTTGCAGTGTATTTGGTGGCCATTATGAAGCATGTTGCTGATTTCTCTTTAACCCTTGGAGAACAGGTTTGTGCTTATGTGGTTTGAGTTATCCATTTGGTAACAAGACCACCAAATTTTGGATGGGCTTTGAGACAAAGCTCAGCTAATAATTTATTTACCCAGCTTTTCACAGACAAAGACAAGCTAACCCTGCTCATGTTTCAGCATTAGCAGATGAAAATCTGCCCTGTATTGAAAGCTGAGGAGGTGTGTTAAACTTGGAGCAGATCTTACAAGCTTGGGAGTGAAGAAGCTAAATGATGTAATTGGAAATGGGCTCATGTGTAGTTGACGTGGAACACAGTCATATCAAACTTGTCTTTGCTTGCAAAAGACTTATCCTAATGAAAAATCAGGATGAAATATATCAGTGATTTAATGTTATGGAGCATGTTTTCCACTGTCTGAGCTGTAATCGTTGGACTGATGAATAGAAAACAGGTTGTCCTTGGTGTGGAGACAGCTGGGGAAGAGGGGAAGCATAGTGATCTCAAGGTAGTGAAATCCACTATTGGTTTCCCACATTTGATTGCAGTAGCTTTATTGAGAAAATTGGGCATGCTTCACATTTAAAAACAAACAAACCAACTGAATTTTTGCTTGATGGAATAAGCTTGGCATACTAGTATCAAGCTAGTGGAATGGACTATTTTTCTGAATGTATTGCTGCCTTGTTAGTAACTTTGTCTTTTATGTGTTGTATTAATTTAGTGACGTTTTCATCTGAATTCATATGTTATAGCCTGAGGTGGCCTGTCTTTTCTGGCTAGCTCTGCCTTAAATTTAAAAATTTTATTGCTTTATCCTCTAAAATGTAAATAAAGAGTTGGATTTTAACTTGTGTGGCTTTAATAGTTGAATTAAGCTGTCATTATGAAACTTTATCTGTGCAATCATATCTGTACAGTGGAAAGATGAGCAGGAATAGAGGAAAGTATTGTAAATAAAACATTGTGGACAGAGCCATTTGTTTTATAATTCCTCACTGCTCAGATGTTTTTAAAAAGATTTCTTTGCAATCCTAGGTATCCAAATAATATTAACACATATCTCATATCCACAGTAGTGAGACTTACATTGCACAAAGCAATGCAATATATTGAATATAATTTAAGATGCCTTCTAGACCCTCTTCTCTGCTTTCAGCTTTCTAATTTGTCTTCATGGAGACCACTTCCAGCACTTCCAACAATGAATGGTTTTGCTGTCCAAAGAAACAAACAAAATCTCCTTTATAATGAAATGTGTCCTACTTTTTCTGTCCTCAGCTATAGAATTACAGAACAGTAGTAACTCATGGGTTACAGATAGATTTAAATTTCCTTTTTATGCATCTACTGTAATGTAAATATGGGAGTAAAAGTATTTGTTTCTGTATTTGGGATGCAGACAACAGAAGGTGTAGTGTGAGTGAAGGATCACTCATTTATAAGTTTCTGATGAGTATGGAATCTAAGTTTTATAGGCTGACTGAGGTAGAATTTTAATGGAAAATGGAACAGTGATCTTAGCCTCCCTCAGCTGGTTCTCTAAGGAACCACCTTGTTACAAATATAAGCAAGTCCAGAAAAGGCCAAGGTTATTATTATCTAAACTGATGTGCATAATCCAGTCAGACTCTGATAATGTACGGGATATAATACAAATTAGGAAAATAGATGAAGTGTAAAAATACTTCCGTTTTTATTTCTATATATCAAGATACACATTTTCTTGGTCAGTAATTGATTTTTCAGCATTTATGGTATATAAAAACAGGCAGTTGAGTGGTTACTTTTACAGAGTGGAAAAATTCATTGTACAAGGCAAGAATGATTTCTAATATAGAAATATATTCCAATATATTTTAAAATATAAATTATTTCTTTAACACCACCTACATCTAACCTCTGTTATGTGTGTTTTGTGGAATTCTTATCTTTTTTTCATTAAAATTCTACTTCTGGCTCTTATATCTGCTCTGTTTGGTTTAATATCATAGTTACAGAGTAGAGTTCTGTTAAAAACAAACAAACAAAGAGTTTTGTTATACTTTTGGAGTCCTGTACTTCTCTGAGTATGGCTTTAACAGAAGGTGACTTTTCTAACAAGGTTCAGAAAATGATCTCTTATGGAAGTATTAACTTTTATCAAGGCCTCCCACATGTTGCACTCACAAAGCCCTGTTCATTGTGAGTGTGAGACCCAAACCTGGTCTGTCACTTGTTAGAAGATTATTTATTCAGGGAGTTTTGAGTTCTAAGTAGTGTGTGCATATCTGGTGGCACACTTTGTCTCATTATGTGGTAGCAGTAGTAGCAGGTAATAAAGGCTTTCTAATGGCAACCACTGCAGTTAGACTTTTCATGTTTTATTGCAGGTTTTTTTATCCAACTCAGGACAAATTAACAGTCCTTTAAAATGTTCATGAAAACTATGAAAAGTAAAAAAAAACCAAACTGGTAAAAGAAGTGAGAAGCTTTTATCTTGTCTTCTGTTGCTATGTGCTATATAGACACAAGTAGACTATACTTTTTGTTGCAGTGTAGCTCATTAATTCCTTTGGTTGCTTTTGCTTTCTTAAAAAAAATACTTTTTTTTCAAACTGACACTGAACAACACTAAAGGGCTGATGAACTCAGTAACCAGAGGATGATCTTACTGGTCCCAGTTCAGCACTGACTGGGGTGGAAACAGCTCCTATGGCTTGCTCGGGAGTGGAGCTGTGCTCTGATTGGAAAGTATTTGGGGTATGTGTGTTAAGTGTGTGATGAAAAGTCCAAGCACAAGAGTGAGGCTTTCAAATAATAAGGGTGCTACAGAATTCTTAGAAATATAAAAGTTTTGTCAGTTATTTAAAGAAAAAAATGTCCTGGTGCTGTTCTCTGACAAGAGACTAGAAAAAGTAATTTTCTAGAAGAATTCTCTAAGTTTTTTAATCAGTGGCTTCTGTTTCACAATGTTTATCCTTATCGGTCAAGCTTATAAAATGGGTTGGATGAGAAAGACGGTGTTATGCCAGACTGGATGAGGCTTTGAGCAACCTGGTCCAGTGGGAGTGTCCCTCCCCATGGCAGGGGGCTTGGAACTAGATGGTTTTTAGGGTCCCTTCCAATCCAAATCATTCTACACTCCCCCCTTTTTCTTTTTTCCTTTTTTTTTTTTGTGGTTTGTTGAGAAATACCAATGCCCACTGAACTGGGGCAAAGATGTTTTACTATTTTGTGTTGTCTTCCTACTATCCTCTTCCTCTGGTGGCCACAGGATGTGGGAACAAGAACGGAGACTGGACTGACTGAAGTTAACAAACATTTTACCTATTGAAGTGAAGGTTCAGCAAAAGCCCAGCTGGGCTGTTCTACTCCTCCAGATTTTGCTGTAAAATGGTGTGACAGGGTGGGAGGGTGTTTGAATTGCAGACCTCTGCATGTTTCCCAGTGGAGGTGCTCACCTTAGATGGTGAAATGTTAGTTTACTGACAGAAAGTTTGCTTTTCTGAGTTGATTTTTTTTGGAGTAGTAGTTAACAGATTACCAATATCCACATCAGCTCACCACAATCAAAGTCAATAGATATGGTGTGTGATTTATTTTTTTCCCAATTTTTTTCCTCTCCCCACTCTGCAACAGTGACAAAACACCACTTATTGCATTGGGTCTCCTTTAATTCAAGCAAAAATGGGTACAGAATCTGAGCGTACAGTATGTCTGCAGTGGATTTAAAAATATTTGTTAAATGTTACTATCACATAGCTGAAATAATTACACTTCAGGGCAATGTGCCTTTCTAATGCCTCATTCTGCGATTATTAGTAATGCACAATA